AAATCGCAATTAGAAATCGTCACAAGATCCAAAATAAAACCCCCATCCCCAACATGTGTGAAAGACGCTGGTTTTTGAGGAAGGCTGGTTCGAACGGGATTTCCCACGCCGAGTGCACTATTGCCGCGCCGTTTCAAGTCAGGAGCGTGGCGTCACCTCCCTGAACGCAGCTTCGGCCACAATAGTGATGGAAGGGTCTCTTCGACTGCCAAATCCCGACCCGCGCCTTCAAATCTTCTCGAATCTGATAACGTCAATCGATCATAACAGGAATATAAGAAAAAATGCGTCATCCACTGGCGTCTCTGTTACCGGGTTTACGGAGCAAGGCAAATGCATCATTGAATATTTCGCTAGGAAAGGGTAGGATAGCGGCAAAGATCGGGCCCTAACCTGTGTTGCAATAGTGGGAGCCCTTATTTCGATTTTCGCCACTTGAATCTCATTCACTCAAGAAAGCTCTGCAAATGTAACGATGAGCTTCCTATTAGAAAACTACCATGATAAAACAACTATTTAGCCTTCTATTTACCGAAGCATATTGCTGACCCTTAACACTGTACCAGGTAAGAAGACATACATAACTCTGTACACCGTGATAGAGGACAAGTGGACTTGCCCGAAACAACATTTAAGAAATTGGTATCTTTTTTTACGTGGTTGTAACATTCAAACTTGCTTTAAAATTCATGGAGCGCGGTCAAGAAAGCACTTTTGTACCTTTACGTAAAGACTGTCTGGTTTCCTATGCCTAGAAAAAGACTACAGGGGGAGGGCAAAAAAAGTCACTTAATTCCTCGATTGCTGAACTGATGGGAGCCTCCTAGAGATGCAAACTCTTAACAAGCAAATCGCTTTTAACCAGCCTCTAAGACAACGTCGTAATGGCCACAGTCTGTCAAACTCCTCACTTAACCTCGAACCATACACCAGTTTCCGTGACAAATCCTTCTGATGTCGTTGGACTAGAAGGGTATCGTGCTGTTTTTGAGGATGTGCGCTCTCCAATATGCAGTTGGGTGCTTTCGGTTTGTATGTGGTGAGGTGTAAATGATCCGCCTTAGGAGGGGGATGTGACTCTTTGTTCTGCCCCCTCCCTCCCCAGTATGTTTAGTTAACGAAACACTTGGGAATAAATAACTAACTGATCGATGACCCGGTCAAATCCAGTGCAGGCACTTAGCTGATGAAAGAGAACTCCGCTGTGAGTCAAGATTACCTCACGCTGCGCAATTAACTGAGCCCGTGTGGAATACGCAGCGCTAGAGGACGCCGGTATAAATACTAAAATTGGAACAATACAGAGAAGATTAGCATGGCCCCTGCGCAAGGATGACACGCAAATTCGTGAAGCGTTCCAAAATTTTTTGCGTTTCTCAGTAAGCGCTGGTCAACAAACTCAACTAACTGGTAGCGCACTTGCCCGGAAATGCGAGAGTGCGGGTTCTAGTTCCCGCCTGGGGCGAAGGTTTTGTTGCACTAACTGGCCAGCAGTTCTTCTTGTGAAATATTCGCAACGCGAACGGGCAAGTGCGCTACCAGTTAGTTGAGTTTGTTGACCAGCCCTTACTGAGAAACGCAAAAAATTTTGGAACGCTTCACGAATTTGCGTGTCATCCTTGCGCAGGGGCCATGCTAATCTTCTCTGTATTGTTCCAATTTTAGTATATGTTCAGGAATGAACGAGTGTCCTTATTGCTGGCGCATCTTTTATAGCGGCCGCGCCTCGTATAACTTCGACACCTCTGGCGGGATACTGTCTCGTCCAGCGCACATGCAAATTAGCTCACCTTTTTCTACGCATAATTGGCGCGTTTCAAATTTTCTGAGAATTTGAGAAGACATGTTATTTACTATACGACCTATTCAGAGTTCAATATTCAGTTTGCGACGATGGCCGTTTTTTTTTTTGGTCAAGCTGGATCTATTCGCTTGACCACGCCGCGTGTCTTGATCGCCCGGCCTTGGCTGTGCTTTGTCCCCGTCGTTCCAGGGTGTCTTTGTTCATGACTTTTGTTCTGTGAGCTATGAAAAAACACTGGGACCTGGTAACATACGGCTGCCCCGGCAATTTCATTGGGGGGGGTATGTAGCCACATCGCATTCAAAATGTCCCCTACGAATTGTTACAATGGAATAAATCGTGCCGCATTCCCAAAAAAGGGATGATTAAACGCAAATATCTTTATCGCTTCTATCCTCTTAATCGCCTGCAACCCCCGCCGCATAGGCAGCACTGTCCTGGCATCTATCCTCTGCAACCACCCGAAGGCGGCACTCGAAAATTCTTGCGGCGCCGGCCCTGCCGCACAAACGTCCGCTTCGCCGTTGCGCGACGAGGCGGGTCTTGCGCACGATCCTCGCGCCTCGCAGTGGTGCAGAGCCCCGCCTGCGGCCACAGTTCGGTGCAGCTGGATCAGTGCATTGCCATACACTACTTTCTACAGCGATGACGCTCTGTACAGCTGATGACCACATTCTCGTCATGGCTCCTCATGGAATACGCAGAGAAAATAAACGAAAACAAATCGATAACAAGTGGTACTGCGCGCCCCACCTCGAGCGCGGTTACGGTGGTAATTAACTACGCAATCTACTGAGAAATCGTTTCTGTAATGTATGGTGGTGACAGTAAGCGCGTCATGTCCAGTTTGATGCCCCCCCCCCATGTACAACAAAATCACTAGAATTCGCAAGAGAGCCTGTGATTATTAGTAACTCCGATTAACTTTAGCTAATAATCCAGAACTGATCAAGAAATAGTACAGTAATAAGAAGTGACTTACAGTAATAGAACGCTGGCGGTATCGGACAAATCATCAAGTTCCAGTAGGTTACCACAAACCAAACATGTAATACCGAGTGGAGCAAACCTTAACAATGCTCCGAATTAAAATGTCATGGGAGGCTCAAATATTACGACCTACCACATAAGTGTTTCAACCCATCGCATAATAACGGCATCCAGAATCACGAAAAAATCGACGACAATTCGTGCCCGTTCACCGAGTTGTGAGATCACTATACCGAAACCCGTACAGAATACGATTATACCTGCAAAAGTTCTCTTACTCATGATCAGCTGGCCGATGCGCTAACGGTAACGGTAACTAAGTAAGAAATTACATGGTATAGAAGCCGAATCAATGAAAAAGGGTTCATATGTTCCGCTTCGAGGTTGAGTCGGGCACATGACAACCCGTCGGAATTTTTATGTCATTTGTATGCGATTTAGACCATACAACGTCAGGCCACCACAGTTATAAGTTACTCTCTTGATCTCCCTGGACAAGGCGTCCGTACTCAAAGGCAGCAATCAGGATGGCTAAGTGGTGGTACGCTATTGATGACGTCATTGAACGTTACTTGTGAAGGGCGCTAGGAGGCGGCCCCAACCACATTTTCAGCGCGCTAAGTGGCCTCTTCCACTACTGACGTTCGATGATCTCTTCAAAATCCACCACTCCACAGTCATCAACGATCATTGCCTTCATGCCATGGGCAACTGTGTGGTTGGTCTTTGACTACAATCCAGCTGCGCATGAATAGGTTGAAAACTAAGACGTCTACAACTCGCACTCCGCTGCACCACCGGCTGCAACATCGCTGCTAGCCGCCATCGTTGCAGCAATGCGTGGGTTTCGTGCGTCTAGCTGTTTCTCATCGCTCTCTCGGCCTCTGAATTGTTACTTTTTCTTCTGTAGTCGGGCCGCATGTGTATTTAAGTAATTTTTTGAATGCTTTTAAGGGAGGTCATAACCGTGCTTCAAATCGTTGTCGCACTGTTAAGCGCCATAAATTACATCTAAACAATTGTGTAATGTGCCGTTAAATTTACGTGCGAAAAGCAATCTTTAAAAATGGAATGCTCAATAACTATACGTATCTATGCTCGCTCTTTGAGAACAACAAAAACTGTTCAGGCTCAAAGACTCATAAGCAAGCCCAGGGTTAGCCTCAGCAGTAGTAAGGATATCGAATATCGAGAGAGGAATTGCAGTGCCCGTATCTAAAGAAAGCGTTGCACCCCGTCCTAACAAAATGGGCGCTAATCTTTACGGAGCTGCAACCAGCGACCCCCGTTGCAACGCTTCCCACCCACCACGAAGTGGAGACCAGCGCGATCTCACGAAGGACGTGCTCTTTCGAATGCTCTGTCTTCTCTCATCGTTTTGTCTCGCTGCCGTTCCCCATCTGACCTTTCTAGAGTCTCAAGTCCTCAATTTTAGCGCTTGGGATGTCTCCCCTTGCTTTTCTTTCCACTTTAAGTTCATTCCCCAGCTCATCCTTCACTGTTGTGCGCTTTTATAACCCCAGTTTTATCCCAGGGCTTGCTTTAACAGAAATGCTAATTTTGAAGAGCCTTAAGAGTATTGTATTGCATTCACATGGATGTGCAAAAATCTATGAAAATTGGAAGCCAACTAAGGGCATGGGGCTCTACGTGAACCTGCAACTGGGAACCCCTTACTTGTTGGGTGAAGGCTTTCCCTCATTTTTTCCTGTATTATTTTTTATATCCATAGAGTATTCGGATAACTCACCGAGAATATTCATGCCGCGAGTGGTGCTGATCGCTTTTTTCATGATGATGACTTCCTCAGATGCGTTTTTTGTGACACGCGCCTTTGGGCCACGTACGTCGTCTGCACACGCTCGAACGTCGCCTGGATGATGTTCTCCGGAAACATGTTCCTGAAGTAGACTTGAATCAATTTTACATGGTTTGGGGGATTTCCACTGCCGTTGAGATTCACCCGAATGCAATCATAAAACTCAAAAGGATAAAGTATTTGGCGTTGATCAATCCCTTTTTTCGGATGCGCCACGAATTCTACTTCCATCCTGAATCGTACTGGCAATTCGAAGGCGATTTTGCCTATGGGCGATGGCTTGCGTTGGCCAGCCAATGCGCACGTCGAATGTTATTATCCTAGCAACAAGTGTGGTACCCCGATTGAAGCCGACTCCGAGGGATAGGTTTTGGTTGCTCTGGAGAGAGCCCGAGCCAAGATTTGATGCATAGTACGACGCAGCGACACAGAATTCCGATCGCCGAGCGCACCGCGCGGTGAGCGACGACCTTGTCCAATTACGCCATTTCGCTAAAACGTTGAAAAAAAAAAAACCCAAACAGCCATTGCGTGAATGTGCTTTACTGTTTTTTGTTAGCCCACTTCCTACTAAAACTTCCAGAGTAACCCTTCGGCAACCATTTTCAATGAATCAGCTGTTATACTCACCTAACTAAATCCAAAAATGTGTCAAGAGGTGAAACATCGGCATCGAACCGGTACTTCTTCAAGGGTTCCGGCTTTTATAGATGGATCGCCAGGATGTATCGTCATCACAAGGAAGATACCGAGCTGAAAGTCTACTCGATTGCTATTAGTGCATAATTCCCCTTCTGTTTTCGGTGTTCTTTTCTTGAAGTTAAAAAAAATTAGCATTGTTTTGAACCGTTCAGGTATACTTTTGTTTACACCTCCAGTAAATGAATAAACAAGTTTTCTTGTAGTGCAACAAACAAACACTCCTATTTCATGGAAACACAAAGACACGGCGCATTCAAAATGTATCTTTAAAGTCTCATTTTCATGCGTCATTCACGCTTGATCAATGAGTTCAAAACTTGATTGGCGCTTATGTTTCGAGGGATATTCAAGGAAAAGAGGCATCTACGGTACCTGGAAAAAAGCTTTAGGGTGTGGAACGGATTCTGGGGGAAGCAGCTTGTGCTCTCCTTGGAATTCTCCCCTCTTTTGGGCTTAGCCTTACAAGGGAGGTCGTTCAGGGTGTGCCAAGCTTTTTCAAAATGGTTTCTTGCATGACATTGGGGCACATATGGGGACCACAGAAGCATGGTTCATTTTTCCTGAACGGCTCTCTGAAATACCAGAAAAGGGGTCCCTAGTTCGATTCCTCGTGGTGACAAATTTTTGCATTTCGTGTTGACGTTTCCAAATTCGCGCAAAATGGAGTTAGCATGAATAATTAGTACCAAATTCATGATTAGGAACGTCAGTAACCCTTACAAATAGACTTTGATTGAAAAACTGGTGAAAAAGGTGTGACTAGGGACCCCCTTTTCTGGTATTCAGAGGGCCGTTCAGGAAAAATTAACCATGGTTCTGTGGTTTCCCGCATGTGCCCTATATCATGCAAAAGACCGTTTTGAAAAAGCTTGGCACACCCTGAAAACCTACACTGCTCCGCATAATTATAAAGCCACCTATGTTTTCTGCAAAAACTCTTTTCCTAAGATGCGTTCGAAGAAGCTTCTATATGGAAAAGGATGTAGGTATAAATGTTCTTTTGCACACCAGCACAAAGTTCCAGCTTTGAAATTTGAAGAGTGTTTTTCTGCAATTTTTCGAAAAAGCCGCTCTGACCTATTCCGCATAATTATAAAGCCACCCCATACTTTCTCGTTGCCTTTCCTTCCTGCTCGATTGAATTTTTTTGTTGTTATCCACACTTCGTCTTTAGGTGAAAACGAGAGGAAAACCGTCACCATAATCTGAATAAAGGGAAATCGTAACAAAAATCGTGAAAGAGTTGAGAGGCAGTCGCACAGCCAAAATTTCGGGCCAGGTTCGCTTCAGAGAAAACAATTTCTTCGAGCATAGTGTAGGATATGGAGTAAAATTGAGCCTTGGAGATCGTCCTTTGCTTTCGGATTCAGATACACGTCGTCTCATGAGAAAACCAAACAGTTCCATCAAGTTGTGCTCGAAAATCAAACCTTACTTGGAATTCAAATTCTCCATCCGGTGTCTGTTCAGCGTCTGTGGCAGAACTGCAGGTTCATTCGCGAGTGAGAAATGTAAAGCGCATTGTTTATGACAACAAAACATCTCAAAAACTGAGACAGTTTTCTCAAGAAGTGAAGCCGAGCTGACTGGAGTGAGGGCGGTTTTTTATCTGTCATTTCTCACGATACCCTGCCTTTCTTCCAAAGTTCTTTATCTCCAGGATACGCTTCTTCATAAGAGAAGTTATCTAGAGTAAGAAAATGTTTCGAGAAAGGAAGACAAGGCGTAGGAAATGACAGGTAAAAACCGCCCTCACTCCAGTCAGGTCGGCTTCACTTCTTGACAAAACTGTCTCACTTTTTGAGATGTTTTGTTGTCATAAACAATGCGCTTTACATTTCTCACTCGCGAATGAACCTGCAGTTCTGCCACAGACGCTGAACAGACACCGGATGGAGAATTGAATTCAAGTAAGGTTTGATTTTCGAGCACAACTTGATGGAACTGTTTGGTTTTCTCATGAGACGACGTGTATCTGAATCCGAAAGCAAAGGACGATCTCCAAGGCTCAATTTTACTCCATATCCTACACTATGCTCGAAGAAATTGTTTTCTCTGAAGCGAACCTGGCCCGAAATTTGGGCTGTGCGACTGCCTCTCAACTCTTTCACGATTTTTGTTACGATTTCCCTTTATTCAGATTATGGTGACGGTTTTCCTCTCGTTTTCACCTAAAGACGAAGTGTGGATAACAACAAAAAAATTCAATCGAGCAGGAAGGAAAGGCAACGAGAAAGTATGGGGTGGCTTTATAATTATGCGGAATAGGTCAGAGCGGCTTTTCGAAAAATTGCAGAAAAACACTCTTCAAATTTCAAAGCTGGAACTTTGTGCTGGTGTGCAAAAGAACATTCATACCTACATCCTTTTCCATATAGAAGCTTCCTCGAACGCATCTTAGGAAAAAAGTTTTTGCAGGAAACATAGGTGGCTTTATAATTATGCGGAGCAGTGTATATTGGTCGCTGTCGTCAATCTTCCCCAGGCCATAAGCGCCACATGGATTTATTGAGGCGAGAGAAGCTCATAAATTGAAAAATCAAGGAAATGCTAACCAAGCATGTATCAAGAGTTGCAAATAAGTACGTAAAGAAGGAGATACTTAGAAAGGTATCCAATAAATAATGTAAAAGCAAACAAAAAGGAAACCAGTGATAGCCGAGTTGGCTAGTTCAACAAAAAAAGCCATGAAAAGATGAGAAACTTGTGTGAATGGAAAAGTGACACGAATAGAACTAGTAAAAAAACATTAACATATAAATATATGAATAAATAACACCATGGAAAACGTACCAATGTTGCGAGTACGGTAGTAGTAAGATAGTAAAGCACAGTGGCCAGTCCCATTTGACCTGATTCTTTCGCGTCCATTTGAGCCAATGCTGAAATTCATTCATTTCATGAGATAAGTCTAAGCTTTCAAGAATCGTCTACATGAAGGTCTCATCCAATAGGAAACTAATCAACCATAGACATGAAAGAAAACAAGACGATCCATGAACTGAATTCAAAAGTAATATTAAAGGCCAATGAGATTCAAGGAAGCCGTCGAAAAGCACGTCAGTGGTAAGACCAATATAGAAATTTGATGCATGTGTGTATTTATGGTTTATAGGTGATATATATGTATCTATTTCATTTATAGCGGGTAGGTTCATTATGGAGCAAAGTGGCTGGATTCTGATTTTTACCACTATTTCTTTTTGTTTTATTCATTCAGCATAATAACACACCATATTATTTTCTACATCATATTGCCAAAGCACTAGAAGCAGCTCGATGCCTTTTCTGTAAAACCTTCATTGAAGCAGTATACCCTTTACTGCTACACTTCCTCAAGAACTGAGCCGGATTTTGATCGAAATTCGTCCATGACTAGGGATTTGGCTAGAAAGTTTCCGAGGGTATTTCGACCCGTAGAACACGAATATCACATCGTTTAGCGCGACAACGCTTGGCGCCCGCGCCACAGGCGCCGGCGCTATCACAACAGTTTTGCGCGGGCGCCCGTAGCGCAGGCTACAGGCTCACTCGTAACGAACTAATGTGATATTCATGTTCTACGGGTCAAAATACCTCTGAGGACAACTTTCCAGCGAATTTGGGATCCGAGATGTTCTGGCGCCTTTTGGCGCCGGCGCTTCTGGCGCGAGCGCCAGGCGTTCTAGCGGTGAAACGAATGTGATATTCGTGTTCTACGGGTGAAACCCCGAAGGCAAGTTTCTAGCCGAATCCATAGAGTCATGGACAAATTTCGGATAGAAACCCGGCTCAGTTTTCTGGAGGATGGGGCAGTAATGGGTAAATAGTGCATTCATCGATCTCTGATCGAAGAAAAATTCGATGTCATCTTCGGTATTACGATGGTTAAAATTTTTCCCGAGGAAGTGGATTCGGAAGAGCGGGTGTGCATTCGTTCGTACGAGGTAAGGAATGTAAAGCGGATAGGAAGAGCTGTCCGTCCGAGAGTCGCAATAATTTTGGGGCAGATATTTCTCGTCCTGTGGGTAATTCAACAGTATCTTAAAAAAAGTAGATTTTTTTGTTGTTTATTGATTGTTGTTATGATTGTTGTTGATGTTTTTATTTACTATCAGCTGAACTACCACACACTCCGTACTCTGAAACTCTCATGCAATTTGAAAACTCAGATAAGTGACCCTAAAAAAATAATGTTAAAGGTTTGAAGTGGTGTTTGTTTGGCGCTGGTTAGGTTCGATCCATGATCCGATCCCTACGAAGAAATGTCCTCAGCAGGCGCCTTTTTACAAACACTGCCATTCGTATACTTTTGACTCGATCAACAGCAGAAACAACACGAATTTGATCAGGCTTTTGGTCTTGCGACGTCAGCAGAGCAAGAGACTGGTTCAAGAGCGTTAATTCTTCGGCTATGCATGACCGAATAGTGACGATGACGTCAAGAGTTGAGCTAAGTTCATTGACAATCCAAATCACGCATGGCCACCAAACGCGATACGGCCGTCACGAGAACATACTGTAGCGGTCGAATGTGCGCTTAAGGTGCTTCCGTCCATTACAACTTTGTTTCTAATGCCTAGAAAGTTCAAGAAAAAGGGAATCAAAAAACAATTGAAGACATTGACACTGCATATCAATGCTTGAAAGAAACTGGTTAGGTGCGAAAAGCAATGCACGAAAAACCGTTCCAGCGAAGAGTTTGACGCTACTCAGGTACGGTAGCCTTGCGTGAATGGTACTAAATATAGGAGACAAGCACATAAGTGCCCCAGAGAAGTGGGTTATTTAGTTTTTATTTAACCTCACAATAATAACCACAATAATAACCTTACACCTGAATAACAAATTAAGCTTAGACACAACTTTATAGGTTCGGCTTCTATAAGTAATTGTCTAGGCCATACGCAGTAGCTATGTTGAGTATAGAAGCATCTCATAACACGACCAGCGTTGAAAGGTCTTGCTGTCATGCTGCATCTTTTTTATTCGTTTTCATGTAAAATGAAGAAAAACTGTACATTTTCCACCTGTTGATTACTATTTGGGCGGTACATAAGTATAAACGTCCTATGCTACTTCGGCTAGAACAGAAGACTAGCCTTGAGTCATGCATTCTGCTCCCATTCAGAATCATTATAGCAGCAGTGTAAGTTCTCGAATATCTTAGAAGACCGAAGCCGATGGATTAGGCAAAGTCCAACTGAAGTTTTCATTCCTTCTTCTCATCGCGTTTGCGAATCTAAGAAGGTTGTATCGCATTGCAAACGTTTTAGAGTGCATTCATAAAACGTAGTTGAGGCTTTTGGTCACTGTCCTCTCTAAGAGGTAGTAGCTCACAATTTGGGGTACCCAACAGGAGGTCCGTCGCGAGGCAGTAAGGCAGAGTCAGCGGACGAGTTGCATCGTGATATGCGTGTAGGACGTACAATGATTCGTTCTATTTAACTTGGCGCGAAATC